ACCCCACCCGTGTAGGTAGCATTTTTTATACGAAAATCCGATAACTGAAAGTTGAGGGCTTGCATTGACCAAAGATCATCCCATAGGTCAAACTTAAATACCAACAATGGTTTTGGTAGAGTGTTAAATATTTCTTCATCCTTAACTAGATGTTTCAAGTTCGAGTCCTGATTATAGAGTCGACTTTGTTAGAAAACGCATTACCCTCAAACGTAGAACTTTACGGCGCGGATTTAGATTTAATCGGACCCCAATGCGGGTACTGAACACCGAACGGAAAACAAAAAAAGGTCAAACTTAAATGCTTCGAGTCATCTAAATAGGTTTTTAGGCTTAAAGGTCTATATTTGAAGTCTCTCATTAATGGTACCTTTCGGATAATTTATTCTCGAAGCTTGCAATTCGTAGCTCTTTTCACATGTTTTAAGTCAACAGCGGCATTTGGTGACTTTGTTCATTTCATGTGGTTGATAGTCCAATAAAGAGGGAAGTTGCTAACAGTAGCATAATAGTATATAGTACTGAAAGAATAGTTTAATAATCGATTAGGATACTGTGTCTAATATCTGAATACGCATACCCTAATGTAGTTTTAGTTAAAAACACTTGAAGTTGTACTTTATCCATCAAGGTCGGGAAATAGGCTCTAGTTAATGTCAACCGAACAGGGAGATATTCTTTGGTTGAAAGTAGCTTCAAGAGAATGGAAAAAAGAGAAAGTGAAAAAAAATATTTACATAGTCAGATTACTTATGATTGTAGATAATATTATTTAATAAACATCCATTCTATGTTTTTTACAGTATTTATGCATATAACTTAAATCCCATAAAAAAAAAAAAAAGAACACCTTAAGATTTGGTGTTACTGTAACTTATAAGCTGCAATCTAGGAATTAGTAATAAGCCTGCTGAATTGGAATTTGAAGCTATCAACGAAAGACTTTTAAATCAATCATAAAAGATAAGTAAAGATGCAAGAAATGATTATTTGGATGAACTTTGATGTGCACCAGCTGACCCCATCATCTGACTTTTTAAGCCATTTTTCATTATTTTAGTTGCCTTTGTTTTCGGCCGTCGTGGCGGTTTTGTATCTTTATGTTTCATTGCTCTCTCTCTCTCTCTCGCTCAATAGTTGTATCTAACCCAAAAAGAAAAAGAACTTTTATCTAACGCCTTTCCCTTTGCACACTCAATATTCTGCCCAAGTTTGACTTAGGAATTGGAGTACTATGTTTGAGTGAGTCAACAGTCCCACATACGCAACCACACACCCATTCTTCTACGTTATAACGACATTCGTGGAATGTTGCCTTTACTTTTTCCTTTCTTGCTTAATTTTAATTGGAAAAGTGACGAAGGAAAGAGGTTGAACAAAACAAAACGAATAAACAAAATAAAGAGTGAAATCAAACTTTACGATCAGATGTCTGTCACTCTCACTAGCACATATAACACATAATGTTTTCTCTGCTGCTATATTAGACCAATTCTATTAACTGAAGTAATGACTTGAAAATTTTGCAGGGCTTCCAAAAGGCGCGCGCTACGCAATAACAGTGGGAGCTGGGGTGCCGGCAATGTTATTCCTAATTGGGCTTCTGTGTTTCATATGTGGCAGGATAAGGTCTTGTAGGAGGAGGAGAGCCCAACTAATACTAGAATTCAGCTCTACTGTGGTACCACAGCCCATTGCATTAATGGGCCTAGATGAGCCCACAATAGAATCCTATCCCAAAACTATCTTGGGAGAGAGCCGTCGTTTGCCCAAGCCCGATGATAATATCTGCCCAATTTGCTTGGCTGAGTATGAGCCCAAGGAAACCTTAAGAACCATTCCTGAATGCCAACACTGCTTTCATGTAGAATGCATTGATGAATGGCTTCGATTAAATGCTTCTTGTCCAGTTTGCCGCAATTCCCCTAAACCAATTCCCTAATTATGTCTTATCTGAGTGTAAACTTCATCTTTTCATTTGCTGTATGACTACACGAGATGCACCTTAGTTTAGTGAACTAGTGTAATAGGATTCCCAATTATGGCGCGCTAGTATGTATAATGACGTGCTCATTGCTGGTTTTTGGCTTTATTTTTTAGAATAGATGGTTGGAAGTCATACTCAATATTCTTGTGAAATATGTATGTAGAATAGAAATATACATAATACTCCTTTTTTCGAGTTTTTGGTGTATGGGCTTATCTTAAATCCATTCCAAGCAAAACCTTCTTCGACAGCCAAACGGTCATGTTGCAACTTGCAAGTCTCACTTGCTGTTTTGTATAGTAAATTTGCTTTGTTTGAGGGGAAGGAACTTCATTCAAAGTTCTATTCAGTACAATTTACAACAATCAAATTGATACATATATACACCAAAGACATAGTAGCTTCTAGTATGAACTTCTGTTTTATTCGGTTCTATGTGGAGAGAAAAATTATGTATTACATTTACTCAATTCGAACTTGCACCAGTTTCAAAACTGCTTCCAAGCTCACTGCCGAATTGGCTTCCTTCTGCAGTTGCCCCCATGTTTGGCGAATTTAGAGAGCCGAAAGGATTTGCTGGCATAATGGGAATGCCTTCTCCTTCTAGCATTTGAATCACAACTTTCATTGATGGTCTATCCGCTGGAGACCATTGAATGCACCAAAGTCCTACAATTGCTAGTTTCTTGATTATGCTGCTGTCATCTTCATCCTCAATTTGGATTTCTATTTCTTCTCCTTTCTCCAGTTGTTTGTACATCCACTCTGGGTAGTAAATCTCACTAATATTGTTCTGTTCATTTGCGACTTCAAATTTCTTCCTTCCACCAATCATATCAAGCAACAACATGCCGAAACTATAAATATCTGCTTTGTATGACACATTTCCATAGTTCCTGGAGAACACTTCAGGGGCAATATAGCCAATGGTGCCTCGAGCAGCAGTCATTGATACAGCACTTTGTTCCTTGGAACACAACTTTGCCAGCCCAAAATCTGCAACTTTTGTATTGAAATCTTGGTCTAGCAAGATATTATGAGGCTTAATATCAAAATGTACAATTCTTTGATTGCACCCTTGATGCAAATACTCGATCCCTTTGGCGATTGCTACAGCTATTTGTTGCATCTTCTCCCAACCTAGTGACGCTTTTCCATTCCCTGATGATATGATCTTTTGAAGCGTATCGTTTGGTAAATATTCATATACAAGAGCTCGTCTATATCCATCAGCACAATATCCAACTAAGCGCACAACATTGACATGATGAATTCTACCTATGCTGCCCACTTCATTGATGAAGTCTTCACCGTCGCCCTTGAAATTGTTAAGGACCTTAACCGCAACAAGAATTTCATTGGTCAGCTTCCCTGTGTATACTTTCCCATAACCTCCTTGACCTAGTTTATACTTGAATTGCTTTGTAATCTTTTTGATATCCGCATAACTGTATCTTGTAGGTCTGAGAGCTTTATAATCCTCCAAAAACCTTTCAATCCTTTTTTGATCCTCTTTCTTTATTTTCAATTTGACAAGTCCGTAGACTGCTACAAAGGCAGACAAACTACCCAATACACTTGCGACAATGACTTCCTTTGACGGCCCTGTAAAATGAGGACGATAGCATTATTTGCTTGTAATTATTATAAAGAAAGTGTTTACTATCGAAATAATCACATGTAATGTGTAAGCTAACTAAGCAAACCTTCAACAACGATAACGATAAATCAGACAACAAAAAAGAAATATTACAAAAGAGATACAAACATTTAATGTGGTAGGTCAATTGTCCTACGTCCACAGGCGGAGATGAGCAATCCACTATATAAAAGAGGGTACAAAATATTGAGAGAACAAACCCACGAACAGGCACACACAAGTGACAGCATAATAGTGGTCTCACAAATTCTCCCTCTAAACAAGAATCTCAAACCTCTTATAACTACATTGTGAATACTACTAAATGAGAAGGAAGAATCCTCCATTTATAGAAGTTTAAACCTTTTTCTCCAAAAAAAAGAGGACTAGCCGGATTTATAATTTCATTCTTAGAAAAGTAAAATCCAATTATTGTAAATATGTTGCCCTTTCATTCAAGAGAAAGGAAAATCAAATATGATAAGAAAATTAGGGCAAACTAAGCGACAGATTGTTATTCAGAAAATAATTTCATAGGTAAAAGAATGAGCCAATTTTAGAACCTGAAAAGGGAAAGTCAACTCTAAAGATAGTATTAGTACCTTTGCTAGGCTTTCCTGGTCTGTCAACGCATTCGGTTTCACTACCTGAACCATTGGATTTCAACTTGCAGTAGTTTCCATCAGCTTCACATTTCCCACAAAATGGTTCAGACCAATGCAGAGGAATCTGGGTTTGACTTAATTCTTGTTGCCCAAAAAGTACCTCGTCTGGGATATATGAAATATTGTACATATATTTACAAGAAGATGTTAAAAAAGAGATACTTATTGAAGAGCCAAAAGCAAGGACGCCATAATGAGGGCCGCTAAGGCAAGTGATCCGATCAGCGTACGCATTGTCTGAGGAACAATTGAATAAAGTGTAGCCAACATATGGATCCTGATGAATTGTAGTGAACGGAGAAGGAGACACATTTATGTTTGGAAGCTGCCTTGGAAGACACAAAGGATTGAAACCTGATACTTTTATTTTCTGTGACTTGTAATCAATTTCACGAACAGAAACATTGGTTGATATTGAAATGTCAATGTTGTTGGTCGATGCCCACAGGGGAAATTTGAGCATGAATTGAGTAATATTGTCTGGTGTACAAGTTAGTTCGAAACCAGGGTAGCCACAGCGAGGTGGCTGTAGATTTTTTAGCCGGAACGGGAACCGGATGAGCGGACCAAATTCGCCACATCTTGTTGGCAAGCATTTATCTTGAGCTGCTACTTTTACACCAAAGTGTAGCAGTAGTAGTAGATGGAACAAATGAATAAGGATTGGGGTCATTTCTCTTGGAAAAGAATCAAACAGTCTTTGATGATTGTTGCAAAGTCGCCCTCACACTAATTTTTCTACATATCTGTATATAGTAGCACAATAAGAAAAAGAAATTCAAAAAAAAGGAAAGAAGCTCGAAGCTTTCCTGTCATGCAATTCCATTATCTGGATATATTTACTATATAACAGGCGTGTTTTGATATTTTAATACTAGTGATATTAGAACCAATAACCAATTTCCAATAGCTTAGATCTTCCATGCGTAAGGCATTTCTTATTGTGCTTTGGTCAACAAGTACACGCTGTCATGACCTTTATAAATAGAGGTCTTTGCACACGATTTTGGATTTTAAGGACCCGTTTAATAATAAATTTTGCCAAAATAAACTTGGATTTTATTTGGCAAACACATGTTTGGCCATAGATTTTGCCTACATTTTGGTCAAATCTCAAATCCCAAAACCAGTTCAGGCCAAAATATCACTATTATATTTTTTAAAAATTGTCTCAAACTTTTATATTTTATAAAAGAGCCCACCATTTATTATTTTGTAATGATGTTGCTTCGTTTTCTCGGTCATCTGATAGTGTATCATGTAGTTCATTATAAAAATGATAATTTTGTATCAAATTTATTTATGTTAATGACTATGGTTTGCGATAATATAATGAATGTTATTGATAATGGTAATGTTGGGTATTTGTGATAGTTTTTAGAACTTGTGGGTAAAAGTCATGTTTCATGTTTTTCCAAACCAAACTTCACCCAAAACAGATGTCCAAACACATTTTCATCTTCAAACTAAACTTCACCCAAATTAGATTTTTCAGAATAAATTTGGGAATTTATAGCCAAACGCTAGCTAAATTTTCCAACGCTTCAAAGTCCCATACCTTTTTCTTGCTCTCTTCTTCTCCGGATTTCTCTTTTCTGTTTCAGTGACTTACATTGTTCCTCATTTCCTCTTGTTTTTTTATTCTCCTTCCTTACATTGAATCATGTCTAACTTACCTTCAGAGGCTGGAGAGGGGAGTCGTGTTGCTCCCTTGGTAGTGGTGTTCCCCTCCCATGGGGAGAGCGTTCCTGCCACCGTTGAGGATGTATCCTTCCCGTCGGTGGAGGAGATAGTCCCACACAACCCTGATTCCAGGTCTGATTTCACCAAGTCACCAGAGGCCGCTCCTAGAGCTTTTCGGTCGGCGATGACGATGAAGGAATTAGCGGAGCTTAAGGCTAAAGTCGGCCTTCCTAATCATATAGAGTTGATCCCGGCCGAGGGGGGATACGGTACAGGTCCACCGTCATGGGTATTGTGCCCTCTACGCCTACCCCTTCCAAATCAGCTACTCTTTTCCCCTCCTTTCGATGGTTAAGGTTATGTCGTCACTACGACATTTGTCTTGCTTAGATCGCGCCTACGTCTATAAAGTTATAAAGATGCTCACTAAGTTTGTTGAGCTGGCCGGGGTCGAACTGATACTGCGACACTTAATTTATATGTTCGCTCCTAGTTTTTATAGGGGAACAATGTTGAACATTCACCATCGAGGGGCAAATGCTTGGAGGTGAAGATGGATGACAAGACTAGTTGTTAATTCTGGTTTAACTTCTTTTTTGTCAGAACCGAAGACGTTGTGGCCAATGTCAACGACTTTTCTTAGGCTTAGAACTATACTCGTTAGTACTTTGGTTTCTCCCCCCGTGTTTGGTCCTGAATTTTGACTTCTCGCCTTTTTCTTTTGCAGCCAAGACCTCGTCTCCTCCTTTGAATGCTCATATTTCTGACTGGGTCGAGCAACTTCTCCCTCACATCATAGGGATTTGTGAATGGCCAAGTTTTTTCAAGAAGTTCGTGCCTACTCTCCCTTTGACTGGTAATTTCCTTTTTAGTATCAACGTCTTAATTTTTTTTGTTTTCCTTCGTTGATTTTTCCTTTTCTTGTTTTTTCTTAGCTTCGGCTAGGGGGTCTACGAGGAGGTCGAGAGCTCCCGCGCCATTGTTTCGGAAGAGGCAGGCTACTACATCCTCAGTTTTTGCCTCTATTTTGACTGTGGCTGATCCTATCTTTATTCCAGTCCCCCGTGTCATTGCGTCTGAATTCGTTCCCACTTCGACCGTGAAGACTTTGGCTTCTCCTCTATATTATCTCATCGACGAGGACGATGAACCTTTGACTAGTGATGGAGATATCCTACCTCGAAAGAGAAGGTTCGTGGATGCTGTTGACGGAGTCACCCGGGCCGTTGACGCGACAGAAGGAGACTTTTCGCTGCGTGAGATGGCGATCATTGTCGTGGGAGATGATATTGAGCCGAGTTCCGAGTTTCCGACATCGGTGGGAGCCGGTGTGGATGTGTCTCTTCCTTATGCGGTGATGAGACTGAAGGGATGGCTGCTGATGTTCTTGACACTTCACATCGAGAGGAGGCATCGACCTTTCGAACTGTAGGCATCGACCTTTCGAACTGTTGCAGACACTTCCTTGCCGGCCAATGAGAGAGACAAAGACATCACTGAATAGGGCGATGAGTCATGTTCTGAGGTTGATGCGAACGACTTGAGGATGATGGAAGAAGGGACTACCCAGCTTGAGATAAGGTTGGAGGGGTCTACGAGTACCATCGCGATTCCCATGGATCATGACCTGTTGAAGAACACCGAGGAGATAGTCCCTGCTCTTGACCCTCTCTGTTCTAAGATATAGGGTAAGACCCTTAAAAAATAGACGATGGTGCTTTGTCGAGGAGAATTGATGGCCTTGCTCTTAGGGTGAGTGTTTGTGCTTCGACCTTCTTTCTCTTCTCTCTTTTTTGGATTTTGAGGGCGTCTTTGGTTGTGACTTCTTTCTTCTCTTTTCTTTTTATTATTGCAAACGGTGATTTTGGAGACTGAGAGCGCCCAAAGAGAGAAGGGGCGTAAAGAAATATTTATGAATTTGAAAGATAAGTAGTTTGAGTATCGTGGCAAGTATCGAGATCTCCGCAGGCGATTTCGCGAAGGCGACGATATGCAGGCCCTTCAGGAAGGGTTGAAAGAGAAGGATAATGTGCTGGTGAAGGCCATCGAGAAATGTAGCGTCCTTGAAGGGACATTGAGGAGTAGGGAATATGAGTTTGAGGTCAGCAGAGGCGTGAAGGCCCAATGCAGTGACCTTCAAGCTCAAGTGGTCAAGTTGCGGGGGCAGTTAAAAGAGTGTCGACTTCAGCTGGAGGCCCTCAATAGTGAAACTGGCGAGAAGCAAAAAGAGCTTGAGAAGGCGGAGTCCTCTCATTTGGATGCTCAGGGGAAGATAGAGATGTTTGAATTGGCGAATAAGACTCTCCGAGCCGAGCGGGAGAATGATTAATCAATAGTAAGAGCTAAGGAAGATCGACTCGAGGAGATGATCGGAGAGCTGGAGAGAGATAACTCTGTTCTTCATGATCTAGTGGCTGCTTTAGAGGCCAAGAAGGCCCAATTATTTGCACAACCATCCTTTTCCCGTGTTTCAGATTTTCCCAATATACCTCGGGAGTTATATGAGGAATGGATTCATGCCGAGGCCTAGTTAGATGTCTTTCAAGTTTTGCATGCGGCGAGGTCTGCTTCTGAGGCTGCCCTAGAAGATGCTCGTGTTAAGGCTCGTAAAGCTCAAGTCGTTTGTGGATATGATCACGATATGCCTGAGGCCGATGAGGAGAAGGGGGACGGGGGTGTAGACCGGCTTAAGGAGAACGCATGGTATGATACCGCTTATCCTGAGGGCGAAGGTGGCGATGATGAGAGGGATCGAGATGGTAAGGGTATCGGTGGTCAGGGCAGCGACGCCTTTGAAGACCGAGTTGGCAAGGGCACTGAAGTTCGTAATGGCGGTGACCAGTAGTTTTCTTTTTGACATTTTTTTGTATTTTTGCCAACGTCTTCACAAGCCTTTCTAAATAGTTTAAGTATGAAATATCAAATTTGTTCCTTGCATCGTTTTCCCTTCTTATGGTTTATTTTCTATACTTGTATGTTTTTTGCTTCTATTGTTTGCTCGTTTCGTTTTTGTCCTTCTTATTGTTGTTGTCTTTTAGCTGGACGAGGCCTTGGAGCCGAATATTCATAGGTCTCATGCGTTTCTTTGTTGAGATGTGGCCGAGGGCCGATACGTGTTTGTTCGAACAAGGTTGAACATAACCTTTTGTTAGATCGCGACCGAGGGCTGATAGATGTTTATTCGCGCCTAGTCGAACATAACCTTTTGTTAAATCGCAGACGAGGGCTGGTAGGTGTTTGTTCGAGCTTAGTCGAATATAAACTTTCGTTAAATCGCGGCCGAGGGCCGGTAGTTGTTTGTTCGAGCTTAGTCGAACATAACCTTTTGTTAAATCGCGACCGAGGGCCAGTAGATATTTGTTCGAGCGAGGTCGAACATAACCTTTTGTTAAATTATGATTGAGGGCTGGTAGGTGTTTGTTCGAGCTTAGTCGAACATAACTTTTCGTTAAATCGCGGTCGAGGACCGGTATGTGTTGTTCGAGCGAGGTCGAACATAACCTTAATACGAAAAAGGTGTCCTGTTAAACGTAAGTTTCTTATTACTTAGACATTGTTGCTTTGGTTACATACTTGGAGAAAGTTATAGATTTTGGGTGTTGGCTGGTGTTCCAGTCCCAGTCTACCTAATCCCTTCATTATTTGACTTGGAGAGTATTGAAAAGTCGAGCAATGAAATAGTAACAATGGTCCTACCCTCGCGTACTTCGACTCGAAGTGTTTTCTTCACCGCCTCGTTAAAAACCTCCTTGAGAATTCCCAAATGGGACAAAACTCAAGTAAGAGAAAAATGTACGACTTGGGGGACACCTTTTCTCTCAGAAGTTGAAGTATTTGAGGTGGTTGATGTTCCAGTTGTTTGGTAGTTGCTTTCCTTCCATTATCTCTAGTTGGAATGAACCCTTATTCGCTTTGGCTGTGATTTTATACTGACCATCCCAGTTTGTTCCCAGCTTGCCTTCCCGGGGGTCTTTTCTCGCTTTAGTTTTGGCTTTCAGTACATAGTCCCCGACTTCAAGCGTATGGACCTTTTCTTTCCTGTTGTAATAGCATTCTACTTGTTGTTTTTGGGCGACCATTCGTATGTATGCCATATCTCTTCATTCGTCGATTTTGTCGAGTTCCTGCTCTCATC